CGATTGATCGATTAGAGTAATTGCAATAGGTCCCGGTTATCAAAGATACTGCTCGTGGAGGATACGAAGGGAAAAGGGGTGTCGAAGCAAAATACAGAGACTTGTTGCGAACCCCCTCTGGCATTCGACGAAGAAGCAAGACAGCCGTTGCACAAGAACTTGAAATCATTTCAAATCATTTCTCATTCCAAGACCCAGAGTTTGAATCTCGCAGATTAAGCAGTCACAAAATCGGGTTCCAGCATTCGTCTGCCATCTGCCATCAGCCTATCCTACAGGAACCATTGGGAACCATTGGTCTGTTGTGTCCGTGTGACTTTGAGTATTCTTCTCTCCTTTGGCATCCATCGTATGCTGCGAGTCGCGGATATTCCATTCCAGAAATCTCTTTGAATACATTTTCGTTTCTCTCGTCCTCTTATACTACCTAGGTAGGTAGGTAGGTAACAGGATTGGCTCTTTTCGAGAAAGAGGGACGGGGTCATCTCAATTTGGTTGTCTGATCGTCGACCGGCCCATGTGCATATTCATGCTTGCTTTCCTTTCGACTATTCAGGTTGCTATCCAGGTTCCCCCATCGAATCTGTGAAACGCCCCCGGCACGAGCCATCCCGTCTTCAGGTAAGCCCCTCCAATACCTTTCTGGACAACATTTTGCAACTTCTTCCAAGGAATTGTTTCTACTATTCAGGAAATCAGGATTATTGGAAGATCTACCAATCAATTTGCATTTTACGCGGCACTTCCTGTATCTGAACTCTCGAGCACGTCTGTGCCCGCACCGGCGGTGCATGCCCCTTAACCTCATCTCCCACGCGATATCAATATCCCCAATTCATTTAACTAATTATATTCTCCTCCATTACAGACAGAGATCACTTTGTACTTCCTGAGTCGACTTTTCCGTCCGCACTACCTAAATATAATAGCAACCTCGAAACATATTCAAACCTCACTGGAGTCGATCACTTTCAGGAATTTCACTTGCTTTTATTAATGGGATAAGGAGCGTAATACTATCTCGTTATCTTATATCTTAACTTATCTTCTATCATATCGAACTGGTTTCTAGTCATACCTAAGAATTTTCACCCGGGAACGAAGGACGAACTACGGTATAATCCACAATGAATCGCTTCAGGACTAAGAAGAAGGCCAAGGATGACATTTCGACGCCCAGGCCTTCGCAGGACTCCGAATCGTCCATGCCTTTCCGGCCGTTTAGAAAAGGGAAGAAGGCCCAAGAGCCAGAGAAGGTCGATATCGATATTTCGGCTGCCCTACCATCTAATGATGAATTCCGTACGAGCTTGTTAATGACCGGCCTTTCAGCCCGATTCTCTATGCTACGGGAGCAGGATGATCCAAACACTAAGATCGGTAAGGCCAGCGATGACAGCGTTCTTTTCCCTAAGCGGCAGTCCAGGTTGGATTACGGCGGCTTTCGCGGCTTGGGGGATATCGCCGAGGTTGAATCGATAAGAGCAGCAGCTCCTTTCGCTAGGAAGGCCTCTTATAATTCAGATGATGCGGACTCGTTGAAGGCTAGCAGTGTCATGGGACGTTCTAAACCGACTGAGGGTAACAACCTATTTGGCGGGCGCCAGAAGATCTACAAAATCCCGGTTGGTACTAGTTCATCGAAAAATCTCGACGGCGGAATGAGCGGGCGAGCCTTGTACGATGACGATGTCGCCTTGTCTGCTTTTCAGCGTTGGAGGCAGGCAGAGAGGGAGCGTAAATCCTCGGAGGAAGACAGGGACGAAAACGAAGAGAGGAATTCAAGCTTTGCAGATGCGGATGCCCTCCGCGCCGATTCGCCAATACTCAGTAACTACAACCAAAAACGAGAAACATCTTCGACAACATCATCCATCCCATCATTAGCTAGGAATTCGACCGCCGCAACATCAATAACGTCTTCTCAGCGGACTCCTTCCCTAATGGACCGGCAGCCGTCAACTGGTTCTACTACTGCGGTAGATAGGGGCGTGACACGTACCAGGAGGCTATACGAGTCTGGGCTAAACAATGATCTCCACGAGCAGCAGTCTTCGGCTCTTTCCCGCGTCGACACTCTGACACGACAGCGTACTTTTGGCACTCTAACGCCAGATCTGGCCCAGAATTCGCCATCGCCTACGACATTTGGATTTGCCGATCGGTTTAGCAGCGAGCGAAAGGTCCTGGCAAAGTCTAGCGCGCCGAACTTGCGATCGATGAGTCCCCCAACCACCGCCTCTCCTACTGGTACCCCAGACCTCGGCGATCGTGTGCCTAGCGCGAGCGATATGCGATCAAATTTTGGGGGGGCGCCGCCGCTGAGCCCCCCAATAAGCGAGACGGAGGAAAATTCGATGCTTCAAATTCACCCCAATGATCGAGGAAAAGCTACTGCACTCGGAGTCTTCCAGAAGCCCCTACAACCATATGATGAGTCCAGATATGCCCAACGGCAATTACAACGACAGCAAGGCCGGGAAACGCCCACGCAGAGGTCTCGGGATGACTTGAACGTATCTTCCGTAACTAATAGATCCAATTCATCATCATCTGGAACAAGAAGAGAATTGGAGCCCAAGGTTTACGTGGCGCCCACCGAAACCGGGTCTGCGTCAATTGAGCCTGCAACATCATTCTTGGCCGATCCTAATGATTCGGATTACTCTCCTGCTGCGTCGCCCAAGTCAGGTGCATCTCCTCACGTCTTGTTGAGACGTCCATCGGACCGCCAACACCCAGCTCTTCGTGACTCTACGAAGCTGACAGAATCCGATAATCAACCTACTCCTGGGGGCAATTCGTCAATGTCACCAAATTCGAAAGGTATCTCGCCTGCGGATTCACCTACTCTGGGTCCGGCTCCTGGCGCTGGCTTAAGCGGCATGGTACGGCAACACTTGCGGGGCGACAGTAATGCTTCGTCAATTTACGGCGTCAACCCTGCTACGTCGGGTCTAGAATCTCGTTTCCCCGCGGGCCCAGAAGATGGGCAAGATTTCCAAGGATCAGGAGTAAATACGAATCCATGGGAGCTGCCCGATGTGGCCCGGGATTGGACATTAGATTTAGACGTCAACGAGCCAATGCTAGATGTTCAATCTGGATCGTCTAATGTGCCTACTACCGAAGAATTTTTGGGCCAAAATACCAATACGATTACCGGTGACGACCGAGATGAATTCGCTAGTCGGCTAGCAGATGGAGCACGCCGAGTACGTGAACGATTAACTACGTATGCTGAAACCGACAGTCGTTCTTCCTCGCCTCGCCGGTCGGAGGAGCCGGTAGATGTAAGGGAGCAAGCATCCAATCTACGGCAAAATGAGCTGCAAAATGGGCTAGGTCATCTACAGTCAAAGAGTAGCCGGGGATCGCTAGTTGACCGAAGCCGGGAGCCTCCTCAATCCAAAGCTATGAAAATGCTTGGTCTCGGGGCTTCAAATGGCTCTCAGACGACAAGCTCGGCACGGGAACACGATGGTCCAGAGCAGCAACCAACGGAGGGTGATCCTCTTGCCGGACTTCGAGCATTCAGGCAGGCGAAGCGTGAATTGCAAAAGATGAAAGAAGCGGAAATAGAGGTTAGACATCAAACGCAATCTCAGGATCTTGCTCTAGACACCGATTCCGCACGGTCGACACCAACTAGACAACTACCCTCCGGACAGCGATCCCCCGAACGCGAACGGAAACCACCGCCTATATTTTATCAGCAACGGACATTCAGTGAAGAGGGAAAGGAGGTACAGACTCTCGCATCTAGGGGACAGTTAAGGAACGATCGCGATAGAAGTGGTTCGGACTCTAGCAACGACGGGCGGTCAAATGTGCGGTCCACGCGGAATCTTCAAATTAGTCCTAGTGGAACTGCGGCACGACCTCCAATGCGCTCCCCAGGTCTCCCCGGTACAGACATCAAAGGGTCGTCAATCATGCCACCACAACCGTATCCAGGGTCTAAGAAATCTAAACCTGCAGCCACTAGCAACCTCCGTGTACAGACGTCTCGCGGTTTCGAACCGAGCCAGCCCTCGCCTATCTCTCCCATGCCATCACCGTTCGGCCGTAATCCGCCGACCTCTGGTGCGGTCCCTTCGCCCCGCTCAGGAGCATCCCCAAATCGCGGCTACGAGAATGCAAGTCCGACTACAAGTGATAGTACAAGACGCAAGATCAAGACTAAGGACATTTCGGATCCTACGTTCGTCATGACGACTTCCCAAGTCCCGACCGTAGCCCTGTCAGAAGCCCCACAGAACATATCTCGCAGCAACAGTCGGACTGCGCCGCCTTTGCCCCCTATTAACCCGAGACGAAGGCAAGATTTCTCCAGCACTCGAGCTGTCTTTGACAACTTGAGCCGACGCAGCGGTACTGGCATGGAGGCAGAGGCTCTCGACCGCAAACGCCTCCGACCGGTAGCATCTGATGCTTCAGGACTCCAATCAAGAGCTCCTAACAACGCTCCCCCTAATAACGCTGGTCTTCCTACATCTAGGAGAGCCGTGACCGATGGTGGCAAAAGCTCTAGCATGGGATTGCCGGGTGGTATGATTTAGTTGGGAGCAACATGCCGAATCTTTTCTTTAGAGCTTTGTTTAATTCCAAATCAAAACGCGCTGACCCTTGAGCATTCACGAAATGTAATGAGATACCAATTCCAGATTCTTTTTTTTGCTCTTCACGAGGTTATGGGACGGTTGTATATTTTGTAAATTTAAGTTTGCCCTGGGCATCACGCATTTGCGTTTCCTTTATGGTGGACAGACTTACATGCCGCTTGCTTATCGGGCTGGCCTCGGAGTTGAAGCGGATAGGGGGAAACTTATTTACCTAATCATCAAAAGCAGGGAAGGAGGCGTATAAAAAAACGCAGCTTTAGTCTCGAGATATACTCGTACCGAAAGACGTTATATTATAGCAGTTAGTTATATTATAAAACCATTGCTCTACACGCCGCTACCACGTGTCAGGGAAAGCTCGTATAAGTCTTTTATCGTAAACTACATCAACTCGATGACGGTTGAATGGGTCCCGTTGCTGGGAAAAGTATAATCAAGACTTTTAAGTTATTTCATCTACGTGTAAATTCCTTTCTTATTATCATTCCTTGCATAGACAGGCATAATGTATTCTAATGAGGCGCAGACGGTAGAAAATAGACAATTTATTTCTTGAGGGTTCTTACAAAAAGCTTCTCCGTCAGGAAAGCCTATCCCAAGCAACGGTCTAGGGCACATAGACTACTCTGCCCTTGGCCTTTAACGATGGATCATTCCAAGTCTCTTCGATGTCCTTAAGCTGCACAGACCAGGCCGGGGTCAGCTTCCAGCTGGCCACCGTCGGTACCATTGTGTGCAGCTCCTTCGTTAGCGCCGATATGCTCCAGGAACCCGCTCCCGCTCCCCGGATAGTTAGGTCGAAGGACCGGAGGAGACGGGACGGGATTTGGGGAGTATGCTGAGAAAGACCCCCGATTTGGACGTACTGTACCGGCTGCTTGACCCGGCTCAGCGATGCAAGTAGATGAACCATGGCGTCGCCATAGACGTAATCCAAGATGACATCAACGCCAAGGGCTTTGGAAAAGTCAGTTTCGGCTACCGGATCTTGGAGCACGATGTAATCATCGAGGCCGTCAACGTCGGCTAAAGTCTCGCTGTTCCGCGCGATACCGATGACCTTGCCAGCCCCTAGCGCCTTAGCCGAGTGTACGGCCAAGCGACCACTAGCACTCGTCGCACCAATGATGACGGCAGTAAAGTCCTTGGGCAGGTTGGTAGTACGCTGAGTGATAGCCATCCAACTGCTCATGGCGGGATTGAGGTTCGCGGCGAATGATGCTGGATCGACATGATCAGGTAGCGGATAGACGCTGGACTTGTCGATGTTGATACGTTCTGCAAACGTGCCGCCCTGCATAGTAAAGACATAATAGAGCTTGCCTGTGGACTCGTCTTTGCCGACACAGTCGATACCGAGGGTGTGAGGAAGCACTCTGGCTGAGTAGTGAGCTCCTGAGGCACGGGAGCGAACTACTTGGTGAACCCCAGCAGCCAAGACGTGGAGTTGGACTTGGCCATCTGATGGTGCAGGTGGATTGTCAACCGAGACATACCGTGGTCCTTGGGTCCAAGACTGAACTTGTGCTGAATGCATGTTTTATTGACTTGTTGATTTGTTGACTTGTTGACTTATTTATTTGCCTCTTCTCTAGATTTTTTTTCAACTTCTCAACACAGTTATTCCGCAGTCATCATATATTATATATTATTTTATATTGGTAAGCCAAGTGGATTTCGAAAGTCAAAACCGCGCGTAATTCGACTTATCGCCGTTCATAATCCGAAAGCGGGTATAATATTATATCAGGCCACTCGAGACTTATGCATCTCGGTATCGTTAACGCTCGGTATCGTTAACGCAGCACCTGTTCCTGCAAGAAGTGTCCATATCTGAACCGTGCCACAAATGAACAGGTGCTGCGTTAACGGTAGCCTCACCTCTCCGCAACGGGGAAGAACATGGATTGCACCTAGCCTTACCGCTACCAGCGTACAGGTAGTTTAGCTGAAAATCCTCCGGTCTAGTTTAAGGCACACTCGAACCCTTCCTGGCAGTCTGAGTCGTAAATATGTAAGTATAGATGGATAAAGACGTAGACTTATTCTGTCTGTGCCGTAGTCTTGCGGCAACGCTGTAACCGAGGATTCGATAACGGCGTTTAAGGTATGAAGGTCTTCCATTTAAAGGCATTTAAGTGTGTAAAGAATGATGTATGTAGGTAGGCTATGAAATGGGACGAGGAGGCGAGGCATAGTGCATAGTGCATAAAGGATGGGACAGAAGAGAAACATAGCCCCCAAAATACATGCATAAGTCAGATAAGTGCAAATCCTACGAGGAAGGCCTGCGAGGAAGGAAAAGATGGGGAACGTCATAGGCTTCTATTTTTTGACGTTACGCTGCAGCCCTGCAGCTGTGCCCGAAAGATTAGGTACATGTATTAATTAGATTCCTTCTATGTAGCGTTGCAGATGTACAAAAATGTAGATAGGTACATGTAGGCAGGACGGACAGGACGGATAACTGAATTAGGTACATTAGGTACATAGGTAGGTTATGTACCTAGGTAACTTACATCAAAGGGGCGCAGCAACAGCGGGAAGGTTTCCACTAAAATAAATGTACTAACAGATGGACCGAACTGGCCTGGTCCCCTTTATCTAGAAAAGGTTTACCTGTTGCATGACCCCTAAAAGCTAAAAGTCCCTAATGTCTAAAGTCCCTAAAGGCCCCAGACCAACTGCTATTCCAATTCGCCTCCGCAATTTCGACGCGAGTAACACTTATACAACTGTACAACACCCCGAGCTGCGGTGTCTCGTCTAGCATCATCGCATCGCAGCCCTATTAGATCGAATCGGGGGATAACGAGTAAATACCTAACGTAATTGGAAAATAATCGATACTTTTATTAGAAACTAATTTAATTAAGACGAGAATAAGGGGAAGAAAAAAAAGAAAGGGACGAAAAATACAATAAACAAAGAAAGAGGAGGGAAGAAGAAAAGGAAAAGAAATAATTAGAGACTGGAAAAAAGGAAGAAGAAGAAGAAAAAAAAAAGCCTTGCGACGTGACGACGTCAGCAATAACAAGAACAAGCATCATCAACCATGTCGACAACAACACCTCGAAGCCGAAGCCCACTGACACCGGTCAGCACGCGCAGTTCATCATCTTCGGATCACGTAGCGATACAAATACACAGCTGCCCTTGCGAAAAATGCGAAATTCACCACACCAGCTATAATAATTCCAACGGCAGCACCAGCACCAGCAGTAGTCACAACATCAATAAGGCTAGCGAGAGCAATACGACGCGCTTCGATGTTCCCTTAATCGCTATCCCGCGACTCTTCACGGCATTGCTAGGCCTAGTGACGGTAATCCGAGTACATACGGCTATCGACGCCGGGTGGTGGCCGTGGGAGAATAAAGTGTTATTCTCGCTATGCTGGTTGGCGCTATTTTGGAATCTAGCACACGGCTTATGCAGTATTCTAGGATACGCGTACTGGCCGTCGCCACGGCGCACCGTCGGCTTACCCCCGGTCACCCTCGCCGTTAACGGGAGGACTATAGTATCCTTCGGCGGCCCTGATGAGGATGAGGGCATCCGAAGGCGTCGCGCTAAGAGGTTGCAATTTACTATAGTTGATATTCTACTCGCCGGGCCAACGCTCGGCTTTCTAATATACTCGGCGCATATCATGTATCCTTGGTGGGGATCTAGGTACGTCGGCTTATGGCCGCCGACGATAGGGTTGATTGCTTCCCTCGTGTAAGTGTAGGCTGTGGAATTATTCGAGAGTCTCTACGCTAACTATACGGCAACAGTTCTTCCCAGTTCCTCACCGCGTTTCTCCAGCTGTTCCAATTCTTCGAGGCTAAGGTTGTCGGCGTGCAATTGACGATGCAAGACATATATGAGAAGGACGACTCCGCGGGCCGATTGCAATTATAGGGCGGGCGGGCAGGCGAAACATGTGTCTACTATTATTTTCTTTCCAAAGCAGAGCGGAGCAAAGCAAGGCAAGGCGAAGCACAACAAAAATACGATCGTTTTTTGTAATAAACATTTAGGAGCGGCATAGGGTGTTCCGAAAGATACCAAGCAAAGCAAAGCAAAGCAAAGGGCGGCATTGCGCATATACTCTACCACATAGTCAGTTGGCATGGGCCTTGATTTGGCATGGGCCTTGATGATACCACAAAGGAGATAGAAATATATCATCTCTCTCATTCACCGCATTGTCGGCTTACAATCTCCTTTTGACAGCACGAAGCTTCTCTGTTAACGAGCACCTGGATAACAATTCGGAATTATACGAGTTAAGTAAGATAACCATGGCGTAAGATATCGAATGGTGAGTTGCCTCTTTATGGCAGAGATTTGTGGTTTCTTGACTACATCCCTTTGCGCAACACCAGCTTAGATGCTATAGTAGGCTGCTAATGTTTAGGTATACTATAGCTCTGTAGTAGCTAAATACTTATATACCTACGAGAGCCAGAACAGTGCAATCCAATCCGGTAAGCAATTTTCTCAGTATATGCTGCTTTTCGGAACGCGCATGTCGTATACACCAAAATTCGAGACATGCCGATACTTAAGTTCTCTGGCGCAGCTTTGGCAAACGACCAAGATAGCGCGGCTCATTAGCGCAGCCAAAAATTTCAAGCTCGTCAACCTGTCGTTTCGCGTGGCATCGATGCTAGTGAGCTGCGACTAGTTAGCTACCTGTTTAAGTGTGAAGGGCAGGCTAATGTGTCTAATCAGCCTTAGGTTCGATACTTGGGATACTTAGTGGCGCTTATGATTCACTGCTATAAGGTATGTAGTAAATAAATACTGTGATAGTATAGCGTCTAGTCGAAGTAGTAGCGTAATACTATGTTTACCTACCTACCTAACCTAGGTAGGCATCTCGTATATTAGGGTGATTAGGCACATTAGCTTCGACGTAAAGGGACAAACTACCCCTTAGCGACCTCCTGTCATAGACAAACTAGTCGTCTGACCGCGGTAACTTGATAGACAGCAGTATTAGTGCCCAGTAGGTAGGTAGTTGGTATATATAGGGCGAGCACTAAAGACGGGAAGATCGTGCCATGCTTAACTGAGCCATGTCTAACTGAGCGCAGCGCTCTCTCTATTTATTTATTGATTGTCCTATCTATAGATTTACCCAACCATGCTGCTGGCCATACCATATTAGCATCTATCGTGAGCAGGTCTCAGTCCTGCTATAGTTTAGTCGTCTTCCTCTCTTGAAAAATGAACGCCTTGCTTGATGCGTATTTACAATATGATAGATATAAAAAAAGACGTCTGTCTACCACGGCATGAGTCCCGACGTGTTCGAAAGAAAATACATATAAACATGATCTCCATGCACTCATCCGTGGTTGAACGTTTTCTTCGTCCCTGCTTATTTACTCCTTCTTGGTCTTCTTCTCATTCTTCTTGCCCTTAGGCACGCGCGCGAGCCAGTAGAGGAATAGCGCGCCGAAGATGTTGAACGCGATGTATGCCCAAAGAATACCAAAGTTGCGCCATCGGTCCTCTGCATAGTAAACGTTAGCTTCGATTCTGATTCATCGATGAGATTTAAAGAGGAAAATAACTTACCATAGAAGGCGTTGGCACTTGCCAAGTACGTGTTCGTCTCTAAGACGGTGCAGTAACTACAGTTCGACGTACGATCTGCGGTACCCTCTTCGATATAACCGCCAGTCGCGAGGACGTAGTTTTGCAAGTATTCGCCACAGGTTTGGCCAGCACGGGGATCGAAGTGTACGTATTCGTTGGTGGCACAATGTACCTCAGTATTTGCCACCGCCGTTGTTAACATGGCTGATACCAGATATGAGAACGGACTGACGCGGTACATGAAAATCCAGAAGCGAGGGAAGGTATCGGGGCTAGCAAGGACACCACAGAAGATCAAGCACAAGCTGAACATCAGGTTGGCAACGTTACCACCACCCTCGGCCGTTTCAAAAGCAGCGATGATCATATCGGTGAATGTCGAAGTGAAAATAAGGAAGGCCCACAAGAGCAAGAACATCAAAGCGCCGCGCTCGGTGGTTTGGCCGGCATCTACAGCGTTCCTATAAAGTCCGATAGGGTAATACCAGCAGAAGAACATGAAGACAGCCATAAGAGTATTCCAGGGAAGCTCGACGATGATCTGCGACAGCATGAAGACCTTCCAGCCGTAAACTTTAGACGGGCGCTCGCGCACCTCGTAAAGGGATCTTTGAATAACGAAATGCGGCATTGTTTGCTGAACAAGCTGGCCGAAGATGGTCAAAATGTTGAAGATGGCGAACATCTGGTTTTGAAGACCTTGGATCGTGTTGGGGGCTCTGAAGAAGACGAAGCCGATGAAGAGTGCCACGAGGATACAGAGAATTGCCTTAGAGTAGATGTACGACGGGGTTCGCCAGTATTGTTGGAATACACGGGATGTAACCTCCCACAGCTGAGTACCAAAGCCGGCGGCATGCTCACGGTAGGATTGCGGATCTTCGGCAGGCGTTGGGATATGCTGTGCTCCATTCTCGAGACTTTGAAGCTCGGCCTGCACATCTTTATATTCGGGACTGTTGCGCCACGCCTGGAACCAGTCGACGTTGGTCTCACTACCCGGAGCAGCACCGATGGCGTCGAGCATCCATTCTGCAGGGTTGGCATCTTCGGGGCAAGCTGGAGCGCCGTTACGTTCGAAATAGTCGGTCAGAGTCTTGGAGTTCTCTCCGATTTCGCCAAAGTAGACAGTCCTTCCGCCCTTGGCAAGGAAGAGCAGACGGTCAAAGCGCTGGAACAACATGGCCGAGGGCTGATGAATGGTGCAAAGAATAGCTTGTCCGCTCTTGGTGAGCTTCTCGAGAAGATCCAAAATAGCCCACGAGGTTTGGGAATCAAGACCGGAGGTAGGTTCGTCGACGAATAGCAATAGAGGAGGCTTAGCAGCGAGCTCAACACCGATTGTGAGACGCTTACGTTGTTCGACGTTGAGACCCTCGCCTAAGACACCGACGACCGCATCTGCATACTCTTCCATATCCAAAAGCTTGATCACTTCGTCAACATAGGCAAGCTTCTCAGCACGCGGAACTTCAGCAGGCTGGCGAAGGAGAGCAGAGAAGTTGAGAGCCTCGCGGACGGTAGTGGTTGACAAGTGAAGATCTTGCTGTTGAACATAACCGGTCTTCCTCTGGAACGAATAGTCACGAGGATGACCATCGACCAACATGTCGCCAGTTATAACACCCATAGTGATACGGTCAGCCAAGGTATCAAGGAGGGTTGTTTTTCCAGCACCCGAGACACCCATTAGCGCGGTCAGAGTTCCAGGTTTAACCCAGCCGTCAACATGATCCAGAATTCGCCTCGGTTCTCCCTTAATCTTGATATCGTAGCAAACGTCCTTCCAGTGGAAAACGCTGGATTGTTCCTGTAGGGCACCACCCTTCTCAGCAGGGCCGTTGGCACGGCTTGCGTTCGTTGCGGTGGGACCAACACGAGGACCTTCGCCTTCCTCAATGTCGCCCTTCTTATCCTTGAATTGGGCGGGCTTGTGACCAAGTCGGAAAACCAGCACTTCACCTTTCGACTTCTTCTCGGACACGAGTTCGGCAGCGGTCATATAGGTGAATAGGAAGAATAGCATGAAACCGATCAAAATACCAAAGTTTCGCCAACGGTGCGAACTGTAGTATTGGAATGCTGAGTTTATATACGCGTCACCATTGACGGTTAAACGTCCAGGCAAACTACCAGGGGTACTGCAAGCATGATTCATCGCGTCGACGTCGGCGTAACCTGGGACCATGGGATTCGGTACGTATTGATCACATGTAAATTCACGGTTATGGAATTCGTTTACCATCAGAGACTCGAAGGCGTATGCTAAGGGATCCAGGTAGTTGAGCCAGCGGCACCATCCGAGCATGTAGTCGATAGGAATAACGAAACCGCTGAAAATAACAAGGTCGAGGATCAATATCGCGGCCGGCACCATGGCTTGCGATAGAGTACGCGACGCCGAAGCGATCGAACGGAAAATCATACTCATCGTCTGAACCGTAAAGAACATGACGAGTAAGTAGAAGAAGAAGGGTCCTGGTTCACGTCTCAAGTTGGTGATGAAGTACAGAGTCAAATTGAAGACAAAACAGTTGGCAATCTTGTAAGGCATGTCGACAAGCATAGAGGCGACAGCTTCCGCCGAGGGGTGGTACAGAGCGTAACGATTATGTTTTTCAACGATGGGGCGTTGCGCATACAGCGTGAGAATCTAGCGATAATTAGTATTAGTATTCGACAATCTGGAAGAGAATATTTCGAAAAACGTACCTCCAAGGCGCTCGAGAAAGCATTCATGAGACAGGCAAAGAACAGAAGAGCACCGCGTTGATAGAAGCTCGAGGTATTCGGTTGCATATTGTAGAACACACTACCAATGATCAGGGCCATGACAAAATTACCAATGAGCGATCCGAGTGTCAGACTAGGGTCACCAATGAGACGTTGCCAGCCACGCCATAGACACAGCATGATTTGTTGCGAGAAGGACATGGTGTATGGAGACTTGGATCGTTGACCCGCAGCCTGTTGGGCCCTCCTTGAAGCACGGAAGGCTTCCGCGTCCGGGCCGTTCAGGGGGTGTTCTTGTTTATACTGCTCGATCTCGACTTGTAAGGCCTGGTACGCGGCGCTGTTCTTCCAGGCCGTGGCAAATTCATCCGGTGTTCGCGGAGCTCTACCCTCAAACCCGGGCCGGACAATACGCTCTATCGAGCTGGTCATCGAGGTTAAAAAGTCGGGGGTCGTTTGTCGGGCGGGGCACTCGAAGCCTAGGTCGATGAAGTACTGCTTAGCCTCGTCTGCCCGACCAAAGAAGATCTGTCGACCTTCGTATAGGACGAGAGCCTTATCAAAGAAGTCATATGCGGTTTGCGGTGCCTGGTAGATGGAGACGCAGGCAGTAGTTCCGAATAGTTCCGTCTGTGTCCGGAGCGTCTTACAGAACTCCACGGCGTTGGCGCTATCCAAACCTCGGGTACTGTTATCCCAGCATTGTAACGGCGCTCGGCTGAGTGCAGCTTCGGAGATAGTGACACGCTTACGTTCACCTCCGGATACACCACGCACATACTCGTTACCAACACGAGTGTTCACGGTATGCGAGATACCAAACATGGCCATGGTGACATCCCTTAAGTGGTTGCAGTAGGTAGTCTTGTCAACACCGGGGGGGAGGTGGCGCGGAGCACGAGCCGAGGCTGCGAACGTCAAA